TATAGTGTTAATTTGATATTGTATAGTGTCAAATTGACACGGTATCACTGAAATCGGGACAAATGGCGTCCCGCTTAGGGTTCTTTCGGGACGCCTTTAAAAGAGTCGAAAATCGGGATTTCCCGCAAAATTCGGGACGGTTGGCCACCCTAGCCACAAGGCAGGAGACACAGATCTCAGTCAACGAGAAAATAGCGTTTCACTTAACGCAAAAGGGACATAGTTCTCTTATCAACATTGGTCCTTCGAGCCGGATTTTACACGGATCTTACGAATTTCACAGATTCAGGTAGATGCACGAATATACAGGTGTTATGTGCATATGCAAGCAATATCCGTTGCAAGGGTGACGCAATGTAAGCACCTCGATTACACGCAGTAAGTAATCACAAGGTTTATCTCAGCTACATATTATGAGGTAAGAGCATTCTTTATGATCACAACAGTGCCTATAAGATCGCATTCAAGGAAGTCTCGAAACATCGAGGTTTTTGCTTCCGTTCGTAAGTGAAGCCATACCCCGTCCATTATTCTCGCTCACAAGAGTCGCCATATTGTACGGTTAGCAAAGTCATCATTTTCGCTCACAAGAGCTGCCATTTTACGTTCTTGCATGCCACAGCGACCATTTGCATTCATATAGACTATCGCATTTCATTGGTTAGGCGGCCACGTTGGCACATTCCAACGACTTCGCGTTACTACGTAATCAATACGTAATCAATATCACATTTAGCATTACATTTAGCGTTCAGCAACGGATACGTTATCATTATCAGACGCGAAAAGCAAGAGAGCTCACATAAGAGCTGCAGTCACACGGCTAAAAACCTTTATCCATAACTTTGATACGATCGCAGGTTCGCGGCACGATCTCACAGAGCGCAAGCAAAGATTGTCGGAATTATGGGGGCAGTTTGAGGCCGTTCAATCTCGTATAGAGATTCTTGAAAACGCCGATCCCTCGATCACCGATAAAAAAGTGCTTCATGATCAACAAATGCAACAGCGAGACAATTTTGAAGGGCCTTATTTTCAATTAATGGCTCGTTATACAGCTCTCATTGAGCAAAAAGAGCACGGCGCATCTTGTCGAATTCATCTTTTGATAACAGGCACTCGGTTAGCTCGAGGGAAACGCGTGTCAAATTGCCAAAGATAGATTTGCCAGTTTTTGCAGGTGCGTACGATGATTGGTATTCCTACAGAGACACTTTTGAAAAGTTAATCCATTTAAATGAGGATCTATCTGAAATCGAAAGGTTTCACTACTTGGGATCCTCCTTGAAGGATACTGCCGCTGACATAATCAAATCTATAGAGACCACTGCAGCTAATTATAGTGAGGCTTGGACAGCGGTCAAGGAACGTTTCGACAATCAAAGATAGCTTGTTCAAAGGCATGTTCGCGTCTTATTTGAAATACTAGCTGTGCGTAAGGAAAATCATGGCATGAGATTCGTGAATTAATAGACACCGTTCTCAAACATTTGCGCGCGCTCAAGGCCCTCAAAAGGCTCACGGAACATTGGGGCGATTTAATCGTTCACCTTTTCATTTGCAAGTTGGATGTAGCCACTAGTAAGGCGTGGGAATTAAGTATCAAAGGCAAGGACCTGCCGGATTTAAAAGATTTGATAGAATTCTTGTCACTTCGATGCCAGGCCTTGGAATCAGTGCACTTGGAATAGATGTCACAGCAGCTCAGCAAATAGCGTCACACAAAAGCTTAGCAACAATTCAAGATCCCCATCCGTCGCGAACGTCGCTACATCCAATCTTTCTTGTGCCGTATGCAAGCAAAATCATTCAATATATCATTGTAAGGAATTTATCAATTTATCAATCGAGGATCGAATTAAAGCCGCGAAAAAGGCGCACTTGTGTCTTAATTGCTTGCGATCAAACTCACATCAAACGAAAGCATGTAACTCAAGCACTTGCCGAAAATGCAGCAAGAAGCACAATACGCTGCTATACTTAAATAATTCGAATAATTCCGATCAATCTGTCAAACGCGCAATCAACGAGTCAGGCTACCAATCCTCCGCTCCCCGTCACCACTCAATGTACGTCAGGTCATCGCTCTGTAAATATTTTACTATCGACCGCGGTCGTTAACGTATATGATTCGAGCAATCAGATTCATTCATGTCGAGCATTACTCGATAGCGGTTCTCAAATGAATTTTATAACGAAAGAATTAGCCAATCGACTGAAACTTGAGGAGCGATCTCTTGATATTGCAGTGGCGGAAGTCATGGATGGAGTGATTCACGCAAATAAAATATTAAGTGTACAAAAAAGTTTTGAGCTTTAGATTTCATACAACCAAAATAACAATTTAAATTTTATATATCTTCCCGCCCTTTTGCGGTTTTAAAGCGTTAACATTTGGCCTTCTAAAATGCCATACGGTTTGGCGTTTGATGCACATAACCTCAAAAATCAGTAGTGTTCACGATGGCAATAACAAAAGAGCATATTCGATTTTCCGTTCAATTCGCGTTTCATCTGAAGAAAAATGCTGCTGAAGCCACTGCAATGATTTGTGCTGCATATGGAGAGAACGCTGTAAGTCATGCTACATGTAAAAGATGGTATCAAAAGTTTCGCCAAGGAGATTTCAAGATGAATCGTGTGCAGGACGCGAATCCTGAAAAGATTGAAACGGACGAATTGCAAGCACTGCTGGATATAAACTCTGCGCAAACTGAAAAGGAGCTTGCAGAACAGCTTAGCGTTACGCAGCAAGCCATTTCCGTACGATTACGTACGATGGGAAAGGTTCAGAAGGAAGGCAGATGGGTTCCGCATGAATTGTCCGAAGACAACAAAAATCGACGGCGTGACACTGCACTCACTTTGCTTTCAAAGTTCCGGAAAAAAGATTTTCTGCACAAAATCATTACAGGCGATGAAAAGTGGATTCTTTATGATAACCCTAAACGTAGAAAATCATGGGTTGATCCTGGTCAACCTTCGACATCGACGCCAAAGCCCAATATCCACGCCAAGAAGGTTTTGCTCTGTATCTGGTGGGATTGGAAAGGTGTGTTGTACTACGAGTTGTTACAACCGGGTGAAACAATCACGGCAGACCGCTACCAACAACAATTGACCAATTTGAGCGATGCATTAGAAGAAAAGAGGCCATTTACTGGCCAAGGACGTCGTAAAGTGATCTTGCTTCATGACAATGCTCGACCACATGTTGCGAAAGCGACTCAGGACCATATCTTTGCGTTAGGCTGAGAACTTCTTCCGCACGCGGCGTATAGCCCAGACATGGCGCCTTCCGATTACTACCTATTCCGGTCACTGCAGCATCATTTGGCTGATACACATTTCGTGAGATTAGAAGAAATACGAAAATGCATTGATGACTTTATCGCTTCGAAGCCGGTGAGTTTCTATCGTCAAGGAATTCGCAAGCTACCCGAAATATGGCAAAAGGTCGTTGATGCAAACGGAGAATATTTCGCTGATTAATATTTTTTCGTTTGTTTTTGAATAAAGATTGAATTTTATAAAAAAAAGCTCAGAACTTTTTTGTACACCTAATAGTTAGTCTGTGCGTCAAATCGCGTTTTAATAATTTCTGCGAGAAGATGGATTGCGTTGTGCTTCCAAAAATAACATAACATTTGCCGCAGCATTTCATACCCATGCAAAACGTGTCCGTCCCAAAACACATAAAGCTTGCTGATCCGAACTTCAACGTACCGGCTAGCATTGACATTCTAATTGAAGCCGAGTCCTTCTGGAGGCTCATTTGTGCAGGTCAGATCAAACACTCAAAAGATCAGCCAACGTTGCAAAAGATACATTTTGGATGGGTCATCTCCGGTATCACACCAAATGACATAACCAGATCTGTTTCATCTCATAATTTTCACTTAACCTCGCTCGACGAATTAAGGCTTACATTGAATCGGTTTTGGGAGATTGAGCATAACGGCACCGCGAAACCCGGGAAAAAAAGGCCTGTGAGGCGTCGTTCCTACATGGCGTAAGTAATACCCGCAACAGTGAAGGGCGTTTTATCGTCAAGCTTCCAATAAAGCAAGACAAACTAGGTGACCTGGGAGAATCAAAAGACATCGCTCTAAGACGTTCCAAATCTTTGGAAAAGCGGCTCATCGCTCAACCTCGCATGTATGACGAATACAAGAAATTCATGGGCGAATACACCCAATTGAATCACATGAAGGAGGTGAACAGTCACGTGATGCCAAGCCCAAGCTCTCCAGTTATTTATCTCCCGCACCATACTGTACAAACCGGATCGAGGTCAACTGCAAAGTTCCGAGTGGTGTTTGACGGCTCATGCAAAACCACAACTGGACTATCTTTAAATGACGCGTTAATGGTAGGACCTACGTTACAAGAAGATCTTTTTTCCATTTTGGTCAGGTTCCGAACATTTGAAATCGCTGTTACCGCCGATATAACAAAAATGTATCGACAAGTTCTGATCGATTCAACTCAAACATCCCTACAGCGTATTTTTTGGCGAGAATCCCAAGACGAGCCCATCAAGACCTTTGAACTACTCACAGTGACTTATGGCACTTCGTCAGCGTCGTTCCTGGCCATCAGAACTTTGAGAAAGTTAGCAGAAGATAGTGCAGATCGCTATCCGAGAGCGGCTCAATTAGCTGTCCGAGACTTCTATGTAGATGATCTCGTCACTGGGGCGGACTCAGTAGAAGAAGCCTTGTCCATCAAGAAAGAGATCACTGCATTACTGTAAGAAGGAAGCTTCGAGCTTAGAAAATGGTCATCCAATTCTCTTAGCCTCCAGGATCGCAACTCTTCCATCGAGCAAAAGGAGTTCATTCTATCCACTGACAAGGGCTCCGAGAAAAGAACGTTAGGCATTGCGTGGGACTGCCGAGCCGACGTATTCAAATATTCATCCATCAATCATCTTCCTCCTTTGGAGGTGCCTACCAAACGAAGTATTTTAACGCATATATCTCTCATTTTTGACCCGCTGGGACTGTTGGGTCCAATCACATTGCTCGCCAAAATCATCATGCAAGATCTCTGACGACTCAAGCTCGATTGGGATGAATCGATTCCCTTAGAATTGAATACCAAATGGAAGCATTTTGAAAGAGAGTTGCAGGAGATAAATAGCTTATATATTCCTCGCTTTGTCATAACTACACAACAACATATCTGTTTGGAACTACATAGGTTCTCAGACGCTAGCGAAAGCGCTTACGGAGCATGCATCTACCTGCGCTCCATCTCAAGCAGCGGCGATTATTGTACATCGCTGCTGTGCTCCAAATCCAGGGTGGCACCATTGAAAGGTGTGTCGCTCCCTCGTCTCAAGTTGTGTGATACATTACTACTAGCTCAACTCATCAGCAAGATCTCGAAATGTCTTACGTGTAAAATATCCGCCATTTACCTATGGACGGATTCCACAATTGTGCTATTGTGGCTGCAATCGTGCAGTCAATCATTGTCAACCTTCGTGGCCCACTGCGTCGGTGAGATACAGGAATTAACATCGATTCAACAGTGGAATCACATACGATGTGAGGACAATCCTGCGAACTCATTGTCCCGGGGTATCTCTCTCATGCCGGGTTCTCTGGCTCAACTGGATATCTGGTGGTCGGGGCCTTCCTGGCTGGGGCGTGATCAGGAGAACTAGCCTCAAAAGGCTATTCCCATCGGCGTGACCAATATCCCTGAGCACAAATCTAAGGCTATCTCTGCGGCGGCAACTAATACGCAAGAACCTGACATATTTTATCGATATTCAAAACTTAATAGGCTTGTTCGAGTCTTTGCGTACATGACTCGTTTTTTTAGATAGACTCAAAGGTTCAAAATCTTCATCCGGCAAACCTCAAGAAGCATTATCTTCGCTGAGCAATGTCATTCAACCAATATCTTCCAATGAGCAATTGCAGGCTATCCATCGTCTGGTCCAGATAATACAGGCGAAGCATTTTTCTAAAGAGATAAAATCACTCAGTAATCTTGAAGCTATCCACACAACCAGTCCGATCCTAAAATTGAATCCCTTCCTTGACGATTCCGGAATTTTACGGGTGGGAGGCCGTTTAAGCGCATCTTCATTGCCTTATATACCCAAGCATCCAATACTGTTACCTGGGAATCATCCATTTTCCCGTCTAATTGTAGTACATGAGCATGAGAAGCGGACCGCAAGCCACGCTGGCCGCGGTGCGTGAGCGCTACTGGCTTATCTCAGCGCGCAACATCATTCGACATATTCTCGCAAAATGCGTCGTTTGCTTTAAAAGTTCCCCAAAACTCGCATCCGCCATAATGGGAAATTTACCTGAACCGCGGGTTAAAGTGTCTCCAAGAGTATTTGATCAATGTGGAGTAGACTATGCCGGCCCTCTCTACTATAAAGAAGGTGGTAGGAAAATCACTAAGCTAGTGAAATGTTACATCGCAATTTTTGTTTGTTTAGCCACCAAGACGGTACACATTGAATTGGCAACCAATTTGTCATCGGAAGCATTTTTGAACGTCTTCAAGTGCTTCGTAGCGAGAAGGGGTTGTCCTTCAGACGTTTTTTCTGACAACAGGCTGAATTTCGTGGGCGCCGAGCGCGAATTAAATGAGCTAAGGGACTTACTTCGTAATGAATTAGCTCAACAACAAATCCAAGACCGGACAGTAACTCTAGGAGTTCGCTGGCATTTTATACCGTCTAGATCTCCACACCATGGCGGTCTATGGGAAGCCGCAGTAAAGGCGGCCAAGTGACACTTGGCTCGCGTAACAAGGAACTCCAGCCTGAGATACGAGGAGTTGGAAACATTACTTATCCAGATTGAGGCAATTTTAAACTCCCATCCGCTCACTCCCATTTCACACTTCTGGAAGCGACATATGAGTACCTTCACCAATGTCAGGAACGCAATAAATGGCAGGTAAACGAACCGTCTTTGCACATCGGTCAAATGGTTATCATCAAGGAAGATAACGCTCCTCCATTATCATGGCCTCTGGGAAGAATCCAAGAGATACAGACCCAAACGATTTCGCATCGTTAACTCCAGGGCATTTCTTGGTGGGTACCTCTCACATCTTATCCCGAACCATCTTTAGGCGAGTTACCAATCGCCTGTCGCGATGGCAATATATTGAACAACTGCGTCAACACTTCTGGAAGCGACATATGAGTACCTTCACCAATGTCAGGAACGCAATAAATGGCAGGTAAACGAACCGTCTTTGCACATCGGTCAAATGGTTATCATCAAGGAAGATAATGCTCCTCCATTATCATGGCCTCTGGGAAGAATCCAAGAGATACATCCAGGCAAGGATGCCGTAGCCCGGGTTGCAACTGTGCGTACCGCCAGCGGTATTTATAAACAGCCTATCACCCGTCTTTGCCTACTCCCAATTGAGAAATAGGATCTGGTTATGGCATTTAAGGTTTACTATTTGTACTAACAACATTTCTTTTCTTTTTTTTGCTTTTTTGCTAATTGTTTTTATAATCCTTAGGCTTAGTGCTACCTTTGTTTGCCAATTAGAATCACTTATATTCGTTGAAAGGCGATCCTTTCAAGGGCGGCGGCATTCAAGGGTTGGCGCTTAACGCCGGTTACCATAAGTATACGACTCAGG